GGTACCTCAGGGCTTAGTCTTAGGACCTTTGTCTTTTTATTTGCATCATTGACATAGATGAAGAAATAGTCAATAAATTGCTTAATTTTGCAGATTATATTAAGGTCTTTGGCATTGCTAGCTGTGAAGAGGATGCTGCTGATTTACAAAAGAATTTAGATCATTTAGTGAGTTGGGCAAATAATTGGCAGATGGGTTTTAATTATAATAAATGCAAGATAATACATGTGGAATATCAGAATTTAAATTATAAGTATAATTTGGATGGGAATAACCTTAATAGTGTTATGAAGGAAATGGACCTTGGTGTAATAGTCGATCAGTCTAAAGTTATCCAAGCAGTGTGCTGTTGCTAGTGGTAGGGCAAATAGGTTTGTAGGTTGTATATACAGAAATAATGATGCGGGCACAGTTGGCACTCAGTTGTCGTACATTCAGCTAAGGCATCTTGTTGGTTACTGAAGGGTTGAGTGGATAACAATGAGGAAAAACCATATACCAACATTAGGTAGGATGCCAATAAATTATTTTCAACTAATTTTATTCCCATAAATCACATGCAGCAATTTTGAATAACAGTGAGAAATATTTGTCCCAGTCACAATATGAGCACTGGGAAATATATGTCCCAACCGCAGTGAAAGGGTTAATACTGTAACACTACCATTAGGAAGACTCCTTATTTTTAGTGGTGTAAGTAAGATTATCATGCCATGTTTTTTCTTTCTTCCCCAAAAACTTAAACATTTACAGGTTCCAGAGAAAATAACAATGCTAGAGCACAATCGTCTGCGGAATGTGGCCATTTCTCTTCGCAAGTTGGAGCTACCCAGTGAAACAGTGGTACGAGCATTAAATGCTTTGGACCTGAAGATGTTGATCCAAGAATATGTAGAGATATTGTTGCGAATGGTGCCAAATGAAAAGGAGGTAGAGACTTGTTTTATGTATTAGTAGTATATGAAAAATTTACTTTTGATGATTCATTTCAAATAACAGTAATACTTACTTAATGTTATCTTTTTGTAGTGGTGGTTTTATTTTTTTTATTTTTTAATTTATTAGAAGTTTTTGTTTTATATATTTTGAACATTTATTAAGATTTATTGGTATAGGATCCTCAGATTTCTTTTAAATAGTGTCAGGCATTGCTAGTTTTGAATTTTGAAAATTAATAAGAGAAATATTATACATCAGTCTGAAAAATAGTTAGTATACATTTTGTTATGTGACCAGTTATTTGTAATCAAATAACCTTTACAAATTTTAAGTAGTTCATGTGCTACATTTGTGATTTTATTTCTTCATTAAATAATTTTTGTTTAGGTGTTGTAGAATAAAAACATTCATTTTGCTGTGAAAAATATATATATGGTCACTGCTTTCGGTTATTAATTAATAATAAATGCAGTTAATATAATGGAGAAGATAGTTCATGGCGAATGTTTTAGATTACTAAATAATAAACAGGCAATGAGAGAAAAATATTGTTGATTCTGTTGTGGAATATTGAAAAGTAAACAGGTTATTTTCATAAGATTAAAAGTGAATTTGATGTTGTCTTAAAACTTTGTTTGGCTTTGATGAAAAATATTTTTAATTGAATTACCATAAAAACAAACTTTAGTGACTGAGATACTGTAGCATATACTCATTTTACTACTTTTTGTAGAGGCATGAGAATAGTAGATTATCCTGATAATCTATTATAAAGATGTGGCCAGTGTCATTAGTGTTTAGTTTGTTATTTTTATGTTTTGTTGAAAAGTGGGATGGTGATTTTGCACTTTTTTTATTTCACTTATTGGCCTGCTCATGTCATAAGTATTTTTGTTTAAATATCATGATTAAGGTAGTTCTTACTTTTGATGTTTTGATTCACACACTCTTACCCCCTCATTTTGTTCCAATATGTATAAATATGTAATTCACACCATATTGAATAAAAATTTTGGGTTGTTCAAGGTAGATGAAATTTTACTTTGTAGTTTGCATTATATCTGCATATTTTAAATAAATCTAGAAGGTTCTGGAATGTTCAAGTTTATTTTTATGGAATATTTTAGCCTATTCTGGAATATTGCAACATATTATGAAATATTGCATGCAGTGCTGCTTATACCACGTGGAGCAATGCATCATACATGATGGATGGCCAAAGCATTAATGCCCTGAATATCTGGATATTTATGGGACAGTTTAAGCTCACTTGCAGGGTTTGCAATAGTACCAGTGGTACCAGGTTGCAGTACTGGTACTCGAGCATCTCTAATCATGTGACCTGAGCAGTTAGAAATTCAACTATTCGTCCCAGTGTGTTCTTGTATTTTTTCACATCAAACCAAATTGTCAATTATCTGTAAGCCCACATGGTATGATGACTAGGGCAATGTATCAGTTGAAATCTAGGCTTTCTATTGGTTATATATTTAATGGGAGTCGGCCTCAGAAAAATCTGTTAGCAAATTGTAAATTATAGCATGCCAGAGGTAGGCATGGAAAATGGTTTCTGAATTTTCAGTTATTGCTCTTTAGCCCCATAAGATTGAAGAATATAAAAATATAGCTTCAGAATATCAATGACGAAATTATAAAAAATATTTTATGTTACATTTTTGTAGTTTTCTAGGCAGTGAACAAAAAAAAATCCAGAATAGGAGACAGCTCAAGAACAAATATCCAAATTCTCACACTAAGAGAATTTGAGGTCTTTTTAAATATTTCCTTATACAATTAAGAACTTAAAACATATATAATATTAAAATTTGATTTATTATCTGTGGTTTTATGTCAGGTTTGTTTGATAATTGAGTAATTAATTAATAATGATAATTAAGTAGTTTAATTAAATTTTGAATGTAACACACTAAAACGTTGTTACATGCTCAGTCTGACCCACCCGCATGCTAAGGGTTAATCATGCATGCTCCTAACTAATGTGCAATCAATCACGTAGGCATATTCATGTTCTTTTCCAGAGCGTGGGAGTCGCCAGTTTCCCATATTTGATGCTATTGCTAATCTTCACGGTGAGACTTGCTTATTGACTGAAGTATGAAGTCAAAACTACCACATCAAACATTTATAATTCTGTGAAAAACGAAGCTGAAATACCAGAGGAGGCGTTTGGTCAAAACTCTGAAGATGGGACATGTGATAACAGATATTATTCTCAACATATGATATACTATAAACCAGCACCTGTATCACTTGTACTGACAGCCTGATACTGGTACTGGATGCCGAGTATCACCGGTACCGGTAATGGTACTGACTGCAAACCCTGCTCACTGGCCATGAGGAATGAAGACTTCATGACATCTTCATCTTTGTTGTTCAAGTCTATCTTAGAGCATATTTCACTGGTCCTGATGCCATTTCTACTCTTTGCAATGTTCTTAATTTCCTATAACGTTTTGTTAAGTAAAAGAAGATGAATTCTGCTCTTTCAAGATCTGCCTATCAAACATTTGCTGGATATCTATGGTATCTTAATGAGGAACTCATTGGTTTGGCATTCTTTGATTCAGCGATGTTAAAGGCACTAAATAATAAAGGAGACATTGATGAACCTCCAAAGCACATTCAGCTGAATATCAGAAAGTCTGAGGACATGTCAGTTGAAGATTTCATCACAAAGAATACAACAGACTTCTTCAGGGGCCTGAAAATTCCATCTGGATTTCTGGATTATAACTCTGAGTCATGGGAGTTCAGTGAAGATTATAGGGAGGTACTACAGACATTTTAACACTTGAATGTGGTAAATGACAATACTCAAAGGGGAATGGCTCTTATTTAGATGTATAATGCAACCATAAAAAAGAAGGAAGAAAAGAAACAATTTCTGCTTCAAGTTATGCAAGATCATAGAAAACAATTTCCAAAAAAGAAGTGATAACAATGCAAAAGAAGGAAAGAAACAATTTCTGCTTCAAGTTGTGCAAGATCATAGAAAACAATTTCCAAAAAAGAAGTGATAACAATGCAAAAGAAGGAAATAAACAATTTCTGCTTCAAGTTATGCAAGATCATAGAAAACAATTTCCAAAAAAGAAGTGATAACAATGCAAAAGAAGGAAAGAAACAATTTCTCCTTCAAGTTTTGCAGGATCATAGAAAATGCTTTCCTAACAACAAAAAAAGGAAATAATAACAATGCAAAAGTGACTTACCACACCAAAATCATATAATTATACTATTGTACATGAAATAAAATAATAACATGCTATATATCACATTGTACATACAGTATCAGGCCACTGGAATCTAGAACTTCAACTTCATTGAGCAACCTCTAAATGTGGTTCAAAATGGATGAAGTTTGATATAACAAAATCAGAAGGTGAGAGCTTTAGGATTTTTAACCTGAAATTATACATTCAAATACGAACCATCCTAATAATGATTGTGCAAGATATTTATTAGTATACTGATCTTTTTTGACATGAGCTGACTTGTTACCAACATTAACCCCATCAAGTGAGGTTTATAGATGTAAATACTTTTCAGTAATGTGCTCAAAAAATATTTTGTATTTTGCTTAGGTAAAAGCTTACAGAGAATATGAAAGACAGAGAAGGCCAACTGATGCCTTGACAGATGAGGACAAATTCCTCCTATCGGTAATTAAAGTTATTATATTTTGTTGTTTTGTCAAAAAAAAATTAAGCAAATTAATTATTTTTATATAGTCTTTTCTAGCAAAAAAACTTTATTAAAGTAAAACATTTTATAACTGCTTTTCTTACTCTAATTAATCTAGAGAGGGTTTTTGAGTGTGAAGTTTGTTATTGTCACTTCCAGATCTAACACAGTTGTAACTATTGTTACAATGCGCTTACACCAAACTTCAGTTTTTAATTAACATATAATGAATTATAGAACTTTATCTGTAATAATTTATTTATACTACACTTTAAATTACAAAATTATTTATTTACAGTTACTGAGTTTGTTTCTTTGTACCTGTTGAATTATTTGACAAACTTTGCTTGCTATTAGATAGTTATAACCCAAATTTAACTTACCTCTTTCTACTTCCCATTACTAAAATATATGTAGTTAAAAGGTGTTGTGAAATAAAATGTTTAGCTTGTGAATGGTAGTAGCATTATTACCCATTTTATTCTCTTTGAAAAAGTGTTTTTGCAGATTGCTAATTACATTGATAAAGACCTTTTTGGATATTCATAAAACCTAAAATTTATTAAACAGGAATGACTGTATCAGAATATGCTAAGACTTATGTTTTGTTATGTTATGGGATTTTACTGAGTTGTTAAGGATTGATTGATGACTCACAAACATCTTGAAAAAATTTTAAGGTTTATTGCAGAGGTAAAAACAATACAAAAGGAACAGAGCTAAGTTTATATCACGAAGTAATTGAGAATGTGTGTGAAACAGTAAATTCACTGAATAAGTTCAGAATCTATAAGAGCAGCTTTGAAATTTCTTAAAATGAACCCTTTGAAATCTGATTTCTCATTTGTCTTTTTTAAACATTTCAAAAATCCAGCTTTGTTTTGGCTTACTGTTATACTTTGATTTTTTTTATTGAATGTTTTGCTAGATACATCAGTTCCTATTTCACTGAAGCTTCCATAATCTATGGCATAACACTTTATATGAATTAAGTTATATCATAATAGTGATATATCTTTAAGCTAAAAGAATAATACCGAATTACAAAGATAACAGATATTTACAGTATATTCAGATTGTCACAAAGAAAGAATTTATGTAATAATTAAAATACCATTGCACAACACTTGCTTTCTCCCTAAATTATGAATTCACATGAACAATTTATGTAACTGTTGAATTATGTAATTCTTAATTTGGTCAAGAATCACTCCTACTTGGCAAGACTTCTTTTCTTTTGTTCTTAATGATGAAACAGAGCAGTCTTTTCTTTTTCTGGATTATCGTAATGCAGTCATGCTTAATGTTGTTGGAAAATGGGTGAACAAAAAAAAATAAGTTTGGAAACTTTATTTTAGACCATTAAGAATTTCTAACAATGCAAAGAAAATATTTTTACTGTTAAACCATATAGACAAGTACTGTTCTTAAAGTTAAGCATCAACCACAAGTCAAAACATTCGTAGTGTTAAAAGCTCTGATATTACTTTTGCAGTTGTAAATAAATGTGTAATCGTGAGTTTAATCATTTTGTCATTCTAGCCTGGTGTTTGATATTGGTAATAAACTTACCAATTTTAAGAATAGCTGGTTTTGAATAATAGTGTATATACATTAAGTGAAAAAAGTGGAGAAGTAGAATATATAGCTTGCCTTTTCTGTCCTATGTCATCATCATTAAATCCCCAGCAGCTTTGGACATTTTGAGTTTAGTTTATATCATTGAGCTGTACTTGGAATTTTGGTTTCATTTCTTTATCCAGGCTAAAGTTATGGCTCCTTCTTTTTGTTTTTAATTTGTAAATTCCTTGTTTGAATAATCTCCATACCATTTGGTAAAAGATAATCTGTCTTATCACTCTGGTATCTCAAGAGCTGCTTGATATGAACAATCTGTGGTTTTGACACTTCTGCATTTTGCAGCACAATACTTAACTCTTAATTTTTATCAGTGCATATAGACCATCCAAATATTAGCTAAAGTTTGATGATACATCCGTTTTGCTCTCAAGTTGCGTAATAACACCATCATCATGTTTCAATTTAAATTTATCAGTGCTGGTAGATTATTACTTTTTCTTTTATCAGTAGCTGATTTAAACTTCTCATGAGTAAACTCATTAAATCAGTATCATTTGTATCTCTAAAATGAATGATATATTCCATGTACTAAAGTTTGTTTAGACTTACTGTGGGTAGCTTTACAGGAGGTCTGATGGATTCCTTACTTTATGGCCAAAATTTAAGTGATACTGGTGTGTATCTGTGATATATTAAGACTTCATATTTCACTAGAAAGACTGCTGTATTATAGTTCCATTTTTTGTCTTTTATCTGTAGCTGTGTTATATGTAATGTGGTTCTGTCATTTTACTATTCAGTCTTAAAAAATATAGGCTGTTATCCTAGTTTCCTTTATTTCCAGAATTTTACACATATAAGTTAAGAATGTGACTCAAAGCTGTGTCTTTCATCAGAATGAAGTTCTCAGATACTCAATTTCTTGAGATGTAGTAATTGCCCAAATTCAGTGCTATTATTTTACTTTACATGTATAGTACAGTATAAGCATCTTTTTGCTATTAAAATTGTCCATTACTGCCATTATAATATATTCCTCTCATTTTATATAAGTACTATTATAGACAAAGGATATGAACAGATACTCTGTGAAAGTATGCTTCAAAATGTTACTTACTATTAAAAGTATCCATGCTACTTCCTCTGAAACCCTCTCAGAATATAATGCCTCTTTCTTGTAAGTCGCTGATCTTCAACCCAATAAAATATTTTAAGGCATAGTTTCAAAGTTTTCTGTCAGATGATTATGGAGATAAAGTCTTTCAGATTAGAGTAAGTAGACTGTAATCAGTTTTCTTTGTGGCCTCTTGTATCTCCAAATTTCCATGTTTAGTATGTTTTATCATACAGATTAACTGAATTCGGTTGATGCTAATGTATCATAATATGTGGATTTTAGAAAGCCCCCATCTGCCAAGTTGAGCTTAATGCAATGTATAATAATGATGTTGTCAATACTAAAGTTTCTAGCCAGAACCACTGTATGACAGTGCTCAAATTATAGCTACCCAACAATTAATAATGATGAGAAACCCACTTGAATTAAAAATTTATAGCAGAGATGGCTGGTATGGGTATTAAAAACTTTAAAGGTTTTAATACCCATACCAGCAATCTCTGATATACATAGCTACCTAACAAGGAGATCTCCATAATTATAATAAATGAAGTGTATGCTATACTGGAACTTTCACACACACATATATGTGAATTTAATAAGCTCAGTAATTAGTTGTAGTTTAATCAAAATTAAAATTTAGCAATAACTTTGCATATAAAAACATTAACAGCAAACTAAAAAAACACCTTTACCAATGGTTGATGGAGATAATATATGATATAGGGAGAATAAGTATAACAGTAGCTGAACTCACCTGCCTGCATCAAGGCTAAGTCATTCAATGAAACCAAACTCTCAATATGTTCACCCACGTGCATGATTTTTTTAACATGGAGGAAAAAAAACAAATTTATTTTAACAACAGGAAATGCATTCTCTTATATTCTTTTAATGTTCATACTAGGTATCCTTAAAGCCTTCTTGACAGTTACTATTAGCAATTTTTATGGTATTATGATTGACAATGCTCTAAACTTCTCTTTGGGAACCTTTGATTATATTTTCTTGTTTGAGTCATGGATATGATGTCATTGATGCTAACATTGTCCATTAGACTCTCTATCTCTGATTCAGCCATAGAATAATGACCTTAGCTTCTGCAATTAAAATAAGTTTCTGTTTGAGGTAAAATTCCTTAAGATGCTGCATAGTGTATCTGCTGGATTAGTCCTTCTAGTTTATTTAGGTTTTCACTGTAGTCAGACTACTGACTAGTGTAATGGTTAGTCTATTTTGGGCTGGTGTTTTAGTCTGTCTTTCAGTAAATATAATAGATTTTATGTCCATATGAAGCTAAACCAGTGGTCGGCAACTTTTTTGATCGTGGGTCAATTATTTTTTGTTGAAAAATTTAGCATTGTGTTGGGTCAGTGATAATCATATAATTATTAATACCGGTACACGTATTTTAAATGCGTTTTTGTATGTAAATAAACATAATTAATAGTTCGACCAGTTTGATATTTTTCCCTTGAAATTGATCTTAAAATTATCCGTAGCCTTGACTCTTTCCCATCTTTCCTTTAATATCGTTGTTCTTCTCACATAGCCGGGAAACTTGAACTGAACAATGATTGTGCCCTTAGGGGTTGCAATGGTGAAGCCAACTTTTGGCGGGTCAGCCAAATTATTGCTGCGGTCATAGGTTGCCGACCACTGGTCTATACTTTGTAAAGCTTTTATTTGAAAGGAGTCCTAATATAAATAAATAATACAACCTCTACGGGTTCCCACATAATTAATTTTTACATTCTGTTTTCCAATGTTTGAACGCAGATCTTAGGTTTGATAAGATGTTTTATTTAGGCTTGGTAACTGTCTGTTTTTGGTCCGAAATTTGCCTAAAAATTGAATAAATTATATTAGGGATATTTAATATTTGAATATTTAGTTGCTTATCCTGAAACGAGGATTACGCCTTAATTTGTTCTTACGTAAAAGGCATTATAGTAGTAGTAAGTGAGACAGAGAGCTTAAGAACGGTGGGGCTGTCAGTCGTATCATAAAAACTTTAGAAGGTTTTATTGCTATAAAGTACATCAAAATAGTGGCTACTTACAGCATTCAGATATAAGAAAAACAAAAGGCTATCCAAACTGAATGTCTTACTTCTGTAAAGTCCATACTACACACGTACATTAACCTTTTCTTTACATTATACACAAGTTATGTCATCTTGCATGCGCTAATATATAAAGCGTCGACACATGATTTAATAAGTTTCTGCGAATCAACAGTTCTTAAAAAAAGTACAAGTTTTAATCTCTTGTGACCCCAGGGTAAAATGTTTAGGCTGTAGGGCGTTTCGTTTATGTAGGACAACAAACTACCTGCTTCACCTGGAAAAGGTGATAGTCTTATAATACTTCTTTTATCATTGAATGAAGTTTCAACTCATTTCTGAGTACAAATGGTTGGGGGAGGAGCTTTTTTTTGTTGTTGCTCCCTAAGGTTCTTTTGTCAAGGGTACATAATGTAACGCAGCTTAACAATATGTCAGCGTTTGGTGTGTTTTTTCGATACACTAGTATGGAAAAATCAACTTTTATTAGTGTATTCACAAAGGTTTTCAGATTACCTAGAACCTCCTTTTTATTTTTATATTTGTCAATAGTATACAATGTTGTTATGACAGCAGAAGTCACGTGACGCTGGGAGCATGCGCGCTGGAGTTTCTCGAATGATCATCAATTTGCCCGGCAGCTCGAGTGTGATCTAGATGCCCCCTTTTTTTAGTATATAAGCCTGGCAAAGAAAGCCAGCTGGAGATAGATAATTAAAGAAGCGAACAGTAGTGACGGTAAGTAAAGTGTGTGAATCACTGTGATTTATAGCTTGTATCAAACGTTCTGACTGTGGAATTACCGTGTACTAAAGTTTGTATCGAGAAAGAATAAACTAGTTTTAATCAAGAAGGGGTTTGTATCGCTGAAGTTCCTCAGAAAGAATTTATACCGGAAATTAACAAACAAGCAGATACTCAACAATATATTCTTAAATAGTGGTCCCAAGTTTCAACTATCAACAGATAGTCCATTGTGTAGCTTTATGCTTAATTGCAAACAAACACTTCCGAACTTTGGATCTACTGATTCTTAGCTTGGCACACTAAACACTAGGTCACGCCCGAACAACGGTATAAAAGTAAAATTCCACACGATAAATAAAATTGTACAAAAATAATATAACGTAAGCTAAGTGACAATGACTTTTACTATAATTTCAAATATTTGCACATTCAATTCTAAAATTAAATATCACAACATTCTTGAGTATAATGTGATAATATAAACATATATCCATGTGTCAGTTTGCAATAGACTGACTAAATAAGGTAAACGTTCTCTATGTTTTATATTAGAACGAGGAATTACTGTCAGAAATTTTATAATGATATTAATAGTTATCGAAATAGCATCAATAAACATCGCTATAGATAAAACTTTTTTATTGTCCTTGTCGGGAGAACTTATAAAAGCTCGAAAGCGTTTAAATTATCTTTTATGGTAAATCAGCTGATAAAGAAACAGTAAGTATTTCGTTGTTCGGAGTTAGACACGTGAAGCATCCTGGTGGATTACCGACAGGATTCTTCATCCGGTAACACGTGACCTTAAGTTTTATTTCTTTTAAAAGTAACTATGCCAGGCAAGTACAGTTTAAGTTTGTCTGTTTGTTTTGTGAATTTCGCACAAAGCTACACGAGGGCTATCTGCGCTAGCCGTCCCTAATTTAGCAGTGTAAGACTAGAGGGAAGGTAGCTAGTCATCACCTCCCACCGCCAACTCTTGGGCTACTCTTTTACCAACGAATAGTGGGATTGACCGTCACATTATAATGCCTCCACGGCTGAAAGGGCGAGCATGTTTGGCGTGACGGGGATTCGAACCCGCGACCCTCAGATTGCGAGTGGAGCGCCTTCACCACCTGGCCATGTACATTTTAAGTTTCTAGATATGGTATTTATAAAAAAATATTACAGCTGCAAGTCCAGATGGCCAGATTATTTTTAAAATGTTGTTCATTCATTTACTATTTTGTGATTTAAAAATTTCATTTCAGTTGCCAGTTGTCATAAAAACTTTGGAACAGTAAAATAAAATAAGTTAATGTAATGTTGTATTATTATTATTCACGTTATTTGAATACAGTGCTCAAAGAGAAACTCATAAGGTGGTAATAGTCATAATTAC